GGCTGCAAAGGGTTGGCAACTGTTGGGTTGGGAGCTGAGTTGGGATAGTTTTGAAGGTTGTAAGACGTGCTCCAGCGGTGTCACAGGTTCTCTGTGTGCTTGCAAATATACCTGATGCAAGTTTGTGGCTTGGAAAGGGGTTGCCCTTAGGGCAGGACCTGTTTCTCCTACCTTGTAACAATGAATGTTTGGGGTCATTGAACTTGAACGATGCCACCTTGGTGGGTTCGTGCTTTGCGCATAGCGATTTCAGCACAACTACAAGAATGTCAGTGAACTAGCAGCTAACATGCTGCCCTTGTAGAGCAATCAGGGCTTTCTCTTTCCAAGCCATCCATGTGCTTGTGGCACATGGCATGCCCAAGTGCAGGATGTGAGGACATCATGTCCGTGCCACGGACTCTGTGGTAATGCAGGGCCAGCCTTACTAGGCAAGACATTTATCGGATAGAAAAGATGCGCTGAAATCAGAGTTCACGTCAGCCGTGCAGACACATAGTATAGAGTCAGCTGCCTGAACCGAAGCATAAGGGTCCACACCACATGGGCTGCTGCCCCAGGTATGCCCAAGGTGATGACACCCTCATGTCCTGCCTCCCAACTCCTTGGCCTCAAGGCGAGGAGTTCCTTTGTCCAACGAGTTAAGTCATGCATCTTGCTGTTACACGTTGGAGGACACTCCCTTCCACATTGGTGTAAATCATGGTATCCATTGTTACCGCAACTCCCCATGGACATCACTGCCATCATCATGGACATCATTGGCCATCTGCGATTCATTCCAACCACATTCTGCTTCATCCCAATCCTTCTACTGACATTCACACAACAGAAGGAGCAAATGCCATTTTATTTAATGTACATATTCCTACCCATTTCTACTTAATCAAATGCCCTTGCGTACAGGCAGCCACCATCCCTTGGATGACAGAAATTTGCACAACAACCACAGTTGGTTGTCTGCTGCCCTGTTACATGTGAAGAGTTGCAAGTTCCATGCTCCTCCAAAGATCCCAATGCTTCCATCACGTCCAGACAACTGCCAAGTTAGTCCAACATATGGACAAATTGGCATGTTCAGACATCACTGCCCCCTCTTCTTCCTGGCCTGCTTTGTAGTGTGGCCTGTGCGTGCCCTTTTGGATCCACCTTTCCCCGTATAGTACACAGCAGAACTCAGAATTAGATTGACAACAGGATTCATCGTTCTATGTTTCAAAGATCAGATGAGACGAGGTACTTGTTGTTTGGAAGCAATGTTGGAGCACCTTGGATGAGCATTTATTATGGCTGCAACATTGCAAGTGTTGGCACCACACAAGACGAATAAAACAAACACAATGTGGCTGTCATCAGTGACCAAAAAGACCAAAAAAGACTGACACAATATAATGCAAGACCATTGAAAACATATTTTTGGAGCGTTCAAACCTTTTGAGGGGGTGGTGCTCGCATCCATGCTGCCAGTGTTAGCTCCCAAGACGAAGTCATTGATGTTGTGGTTGATTTCTGACAAACCAAGCTGCGATCCCTGGCCAACAGAAGTCAGATCTGGCCACCTTCGTTCAGGGGGAAGGGGTGCCCCTGCAGTCTGGTCAGGTATGATGGGTTGTAGGAGGGGATCCATTGCTCCTTCTCCACCTTGTCCATTGTCTTTGCCTTCTTCGCCTTCTCCACCTTCTCCGGCTTCTCCTACATGCCACATTACTCACTAACACACTCCAAATATAATTCGCCATGCAATATGTGAAGTAGCAAGATAATTCTGCATAGGTCAGTGCGGCCCCCACCATCCACAAATTTTGTTGCACATTGCAAATCACCAGAAATACATTGCATACCTGTCAGGGCTGGTCTCACACCTTCAGGGCTACAAACCTCGCTGTCTTTAGAGGATTCACTGTCGCCATTTGTGTCCCCATCATCATCAGTGTCAGCATCACCGTCAGTGTCCCCATCACATCCTACACAGGCATCGGAATATTGAGGCCGATTAAATTTGAAAACAGCCCAAATTACCCGCAAGTGACACTTTGATAGTTGTGCTCACCCTTTTCTGCCTGCTCCTCGGGGGCGTTGCCATCTGGGTTGCTGCTGGTACCCTCAAGGCCTCTATGGTAAAGACCGCACAAAATCTTTAGTGGCATAAAATTCGAAGAAAAAATATCTTGACTCACTCTACAAATTCATTGTCCCTTTTTATTGCACTGAGCGATGTGTTCACATTAACCGATTTGAACGTAGTGATCGTATGTGGTCAATTCTTTAGTGTGCAATGCACACTAATCTGTGATTACTCTCACCAATCACCCATACTTGTGTGGGATGAAATGTTAAAGTAAAACCTTTTGTGTTTTAAACATATGATGTTCTACAAACTGAACATAGTATTGGGTGCGATCGTTGAATAGTGTGCATGCACAAGGATGTGTGCAAATTAGTGGGCCATATGAGAACATTACCACCGGAGGCAAGTACAAAAGTCACAATTGAATTTGTCGCACCTGGAAAGGAGCGGCTGGAGTTCCTTGGGGAAAATGGTTGTTGGTAGCTGCTGGCCCTCTCGCACCTTAGCCTCCTTCAATGCCTTCACCATGGCCTTCCAGTTTGCCTCCAAGGCCTTGGCACTGGCCTTCACCGCATCGTAGTGGTTGTTCCTCCAATTGAAATTGAACCTTTTGACATTGTCCCATATGAGGGACTGTACTTTGTTCAGCTGTTGGTCGCGTACCAACTGATGCGACATGCATTGTCGCACAATCAGCATATATAGAGTGCAGCTCATCCTCGCTGAAGGTGATTTGTCATGCATGAGGCGGATGTAGTCCGACTTCAACATCAGTCGGAGCTTGCTTGGATAACCCTTGTCTTTCACCATAGGGAAGTATTTGCGTGTTGTTTCCAGCACGCACAGCCGGAATGCATGTGGGAACTCCTTTCCAGAACACGTTCCTATGCATTGGATGCACACAATCAACAACTGATAAGCAAACACAAGGCTTGTGCATGGGAGATATCCATCTAATATCTAACTGCCTACAAGTGCCACTTCAGTGCTCACCTGTGGTGGGGGACTTGGCAATGCTAGCCTGTTGTGAGCCCAATGCATCTGCACAGCCAATTGGCATGTGCGGTAGGTAGGCAATCGATGACAAGGCTCCCGCTGCCTTCTCAGCCCGCGACAAGAGCACATGTACTGTCGGGGCACCCCGGAGATGGGGCGTTGCGTATGTTCGGGCCACGATGCCCTCCCCTTGCATCGCCACCCGCAGCTCGTTTATGACATTGTTGAAGGTGGGGAGGCTTTTGAAGAATACACGCACACCATTTTCAGCCTGTCGCACATTGCACATGTAGAATAAGTACAATTGTGTAAGCAATTGGCTGCAACTGGAACACCCTGCACACAAGCAGATGCTTCACCTCATGGCAGGCCAAGGCATGGATCCGCAGCTGCTCTGCAGCTTTTGTCCATTCATCGTGACGACCAGTCCAATCCAGCAATGTTCCGATCTCCACAATCAGATCGTGTGCCGCTGTAAGGCAGTGTGGCACACACACACTCAACCTTGAAGCCCCAAGATCCCATAGAAGAGCACCACTGAAATGTACTTGTCATCCTTCCAGTTTCACTTTGCCTTTGAAAGAAGTTTGTGGGGCCCTCATAGCAAGCACGAGATGATGAGGATGCACCCATCACAAAAAGCTGGTATTCTATTGCTCATCGGTTTAGCATATCTACTCACCAGCCATAAGCAATGCATATTCATAGTGGATGAAGAAAAGACTGGAAATCCAAGATAAATCTGTGATCCATTGAACTCAGTTTCGTATGGCTATAAACTGATGCGCACCCTGAATCGTACAGCGCCCATTAGAACGGCAGATGGATTCTAGGTCATTCAGCTCTGGCATGCTGTGAGGGCTCCCCAATTGACATATAGCTCTTCGTCATCAGTCTAGCTCAACTCTGCCTTTGAAAGACAAAGCACGGCACATGCACCATTCAGGTGATGATGGGGGTTGCACACCTCCAAAACGGCTATTCTATCACCCATCCACTGGGCGTATGCACTCATCTGCAATAGGCAGCACATGTGCACAGTTGTTGAAGAATAGTGCAGAAATTGCAAGGCAAGATGTATCTTTGTTCATGGCAAGACACTTTGTTTCGTTTGTCTTGAAAGCGATGCACAGCCCGAATCGTACAGCCCCTGGTCAGGGCACAATCTGGATTGTAGGTGATTCAGCTGCAACATTAGGACGCATATACTTTGGTATTGTGGCCTGATGTCACCAAAGTTTTCCAGCCTTCAATGACTTGCGTTTGTCCTGAAAGCGATGCACAACCCGAATCGTACAGCCCTTGGTCTGGACACGATTTGGATTGTAGGTGATTTGGCTGCTGCATTGGGGGCCATACACTTTTGGTATTGCGGCTTGATGTCACCAAAGTTTTTCAGCCTTCAATGGCTTGCTTTGTGCAACAGGCGATCTTCGACCAATTCACAGGCGATTCAGTTGGTGTTCACTAACGATTCTACATTTTCCTTGCAACTCATCAATTAAACATAGCAAGGACTTTTTTTGCGCGTCGAGCTGTAACAAATTGCAGTAAACTTGACTGCAAGCATACTGTATGTCGGTGTGAAGACCGTGTCATATGTAGTCTCCAGCCCCTGCAATGTGCTGCCAACGTCATGCCAACCAGGCCTTCCTTCGTATGCATGTCTGCAGCTTCTTGATCTTGCTAACGTGGCAGAGTGGACGTCGCCTTTTGCAACGTAGTACAACAGTCGCAGAGTCTGCGCCTGGGGCTGGTCGCCCACGTAGAGGAGGGTGAGCCCCATGGCGTTTGGCAGGCCACTGGCTGTTGGGTCCTATTCTGATGACGTATTGTATCATTTCAGTGAACGTTTCCCGAAGTTGGAATTGCAGGGCAGATTGAATCCTTGTCAGCAACGTTGTGACAATGAGCGTTTGTGTGCTTTCGCTTGCAGCATATCTGCGAAGTGTTTCTGAGGGAGACATGGGCAATGAGGATGCAGGAGGCAACAAGGTTCCGCGCTATTGCTGCATCAACTGACGTGCAGCATTGAAACTTGCTTATGGGAAGGCAGGCGACAGCCTGCACTCGTTTCGTTCAATGTCTACGGTGTAGCCTTTATTGGACGGTGGGTCCTTTGCACCGCTGAGCCTGGCCATAAGATATGATTAGTAGTAGTAGATGGAAATCCCTGCCGTCCACTTCTTGCATGGAGTTGAAAAAGACATTGTACAGTTGCTTTTGTGCATTGCCTTTTGTTCTTGCAGACCAACGAGTTTATGGAGTTTGGTACAGTAGCCGAGCTGGACTGGTCTTGCGGTGTAATACAGACCCGTCTTCGTATAGTATAATTATTGACTGGTTTATAACATTATTCTTAAATTAAGGATGTAAGCGTCGCAATGTCGACATAATATACAACGATCATGCCATAGTCGTGCTCGTGATATTGTTATTTTGCTTCGGTTGCTGCTCGCCAACTGGCAAGGACTTCTTTTGATGTGTTGTCATCCACAATCGCTTCTTGGCATTAGGAGGTACGGATTCATATACTTCCTTACATTGGATTTCAATGAACTGATCATAAGCGCTGCTTTGTTCGGGCAAAATACGAAGCTGGCAAAAACTGATGATGATGATTTGATGATGATGATGATGATGATGAATTCCTTAGTTACATAGCGTTCAGTAAACCCAACTCCGCTCCCAGCAGCATAAACATAATGTCAACAGGATGATGATGATGATACTGGCCAGTCAGGAACTATGTGACATACACCAGTCATTTACAAGTATTGCGTATGATGTGTCGGATTGATTGCAACGTCAACAGCACCTCTGCGTGAACTTTTCCTTAACGCCAGCACAACTCAACAGCATGCCTAACAGAGCGACGCAAGATCAAGGCACAGAACGTGAAGTGTCGCGGTCCCCAGCGCTGAGAATCCCAGGAGTTGTTGACCCCAATGAAAGGACGATGTCGGTCAGTAGCACCTCTAGCGAGCGTCAGAAACATGTGCGTTGGCTGTATATGTGGTTGGGCAGTACAAGAAGCAAGTTGTTGCCGCCCTGTTTATTGGCGTGTGCCGTGTGCACACGGACTGCTTTGTTCACGTGGGCTTTTGTCCATCGTGCAAGAACGAGCGTCACGTTCAAACTCAGCCAGCCACTGCCAGCTCCCTCGTGTGCCCTGGTGTGCCAAAGGTGCGTGCAGGAGCTGTGGGAGCTTCACGGCAAGTTCGTTTGAAAATGGCATGTGTGAGTTGCCACTTAATGTGTTTTGGGGATTTGGCCCAGGGGTTAGTTGGCTAACAGCTGGGAACAACGGCAGCTGCCCTGGACGTTATGGATCTTTTGGATGCATTCTTGGCGCAACGCTCCCCTGGGAATGTCAAACAAGCCAGCTAGCTCGCAAGCACCCTATAGGGACGTTTTGGATCTCATCTTGGATCATGACGGTCTTGTAGCAGTTGCGTAGTTGTAGCCCATACCAACGATCACGTTTTGTGGTTGGTGGCTCCTGTCCAAAACTCGACGTTGACACCTGGACCTGCCCCTTCTCACAGCCAGGATGTGTGTTTTCTGGTGAGGCATCCACTAAGATTCGGTTACAAATGAGACAAGACAGTAGGAAATGCCTAATCTAGCAATGATCTGTCCCTCCTCAGATGCCCAGAAGTAAAAGCTTGTCCCATTTCAGATGTCGTTGTGGGCATCTCCTGATGGCGCACTCTTCAAGGCTGCCCACCCAAGAGCACAGCAACACATGGTGTTAGAAGGTGCTGAATAGCCTTTGTGTGTGCATTGCACGCATGTACAGTGCATTCATGCCAGCCACAATTCACAAGTTTCACAGTGTTTGCCCACATAGGTAATTCAATTGATGGACAGATGGGCATTTACGGATCTATCCCCAAGGCCCCCGTCTGTCCTTGTTTTCCTTGCTCATTTCCAGTTCCTGCACCCTTCGTCTTGTGACCAATATGTTGTATCACACCTTGGCATTGTCCTTTAAGGCGACAATGCACTTGGCGATCTTCTGTTTGACAAAGGATGGCACTCAAGCTCTTCAATGTGATGCTTCGGCATGAACAACACATATTATCTACCAAACAAGACTTGTACCATACTGTTGAATGGTGTGGCACAGCAGGGTGTGACTGGCCGTGAGGACATGGCTGTGGATGCCTCCATCTGGCAGCACATTCTCTGCAGGCTTCCGGTCGCTGATCCATCACACATGCCCCCGTTGGCCAAGCCAGACCCCAAGGTGGATGTCAGCCCACGAGCTGTGTGTGCCAAACTGCCGATTGTAGCAAACCACCAGTTGTGTTGAATCATGGCTGGCAAGGCGCAGGAGGTTGTTTGTCATTCTGTTCTGGCAACCTTTGTTCATGGACTCCATGCCTGCTGGTGTCCTTGCATTCTGCTGTGGGTTTGTATGTCCCACAGTTTAGCAGCAAATGGCACCACCAGCAATTGATTCAATTGTCACCTTGATTGGATTCATCATGCTTAGAGCAATTCCAAGAGAAGAAGACAGCCGCAGCCGTAAGGCCACGATGTGCTATGCCTTTCCAGTGGCAGCGTATTCAGTGCTATGTGCTCAAGCTGCACAAGTTGTATTCTGCTGCAATCTATGCATCAGCAAATGGTACAGCAATGCACACCTGGGAGTCCTTTCACGGCATAAGGAGGTTTTCACTGACAAAAGTGGTGTCCAGTGCTCCCCTGTTGAACAACAATGCGCAAGAATATGGTTTCATGATGCTGACAGGCTCTGTTGAAAAGATACACTCCTTCATTTTCATGGTTTGCTACAGTTGATGAGCTACTGTCCAGCATGGCATCTTGCACAATCCTGACCATCGTCCTCCTTAAGTCACAGCTGTTGTCCAGGCACAATGGTGGGCTACTCCTCTGGCAAAACTTGATGACACTGAATGACGACAACCACAACGCAGCCTGGGTGCAGAATGTTGAGACAATAAAGTTGAAGGTTGTATAGCTACAGAAGCAACCTATTGAGAGTGCAGACTCGGACGCAGGGTAGGTACCGGTAGCCTCTGGCTACATGTCCACAGTCAGCGCGCCTGTCATGCACGTTCCCTTGCGCACTTTCCAAGCCTCTGGGATGTGGTGCATTAGTTTGGTGAGTTTGCTATGGTGTCAACGACGTTTGCGCACTGTGATTTGGTTGTTAACGAACAAGTCACGGGGGAAGTGGGATTGAGAACTTCTGTTTCGCTGCAGCTAGCCGTCGCCGTGCAAAACAGTGCGGTTGCCTGGTAGGTGTGGGTTGTGAGGGAAATGTCAGTGGGGAAATGGGGGTGATGGACAGCCAGGGCACCCTTACCCGATGCATGGCGCCTGCGTCGCTCGCCTGTAAGTCGTTTGGCAGCCGCCTGAAATGCACGACACGACGCCGTGGCTCCCAACTCAGGGCTTCCAGCCCACTGCCGTGCCAGCGTGTGCCCCCGGCACTAGCCCATGTCGCAGCAATTTTGCTCATTGTCGTGTGGTGGCATTTGGCCGAATTGGGCTGCTGCCGCCCAAATTTGCCCCAAAATAGCCTTGGGGCCGGAGGTTGCGGCATTAGTGCAGTGAACTCTGGCTTGCGGCGTGGGCGCCTGTAGGCCCTCCTGGCAAAGTCGACGACCAAGTCAAAGGCACGGTCGTAGACAGCCGCTGAAGGCTATGATAAGTGCGGGGCGGTTTGGTGGCCACCTTTGAATGGCGGCATGCAAAAGAGTGGCGTGCTGTTTTTGAAACGTTTGTGGTGTTGGCAGGCAGTCGCAACGGTGGTCCTTTCGTGTCGTCGGAGCCACAGGCTGGCGAGCAATTCTGGTGAGCGTTGTAGCGCCGATGCACTCTCTACGTGGTTTTTCGGCCGTTATGAAATGGCCGCACGCGAAAGGGTGGGTAGCTTAAAGTCGTTGTTGCTTGCAAGGGTTCGCTGTGTCCATGTCACGTGGTGATCTTCACAAGCTGGTGAGCATTCTGGCGATCGCTCTAGAACGCCAGATCTGGCCGCGGTGGGAACCGCACAGGTTGCTTTTGGAGGGCACTCTGAATGGCGGCTTGCGAAAGGGGGTTGTTGTTTGAAGTTTTGTGTTGTGGGCAGGGGTTCGGTGCGTCCGTGTCGTGTCGTGATCTTCACGTGCTGGTGAGCATTCTGGCGAGCGTGCTGGTGGCGGTGGGGACCGCACCGGACTGGTTCTCGGCTCCCTTGGAGTTGCTGCTTGTGAATGGATGATTGGAGTACTGGTTGAAAAAGTTTGTGCTGTGTGCAGGTCACCTTGCGCGCGAATAGACACGATTGAAGGTCGTGAGATTTCCGCAGCACAGGCGAAGTGACCGGTGGACCGGCTGGCGGCCACCTTGAGGGCGCGGCGCTGGAGTCGCAGCCCGAACTGTGGGTCAACGGTTGTATGGGAGAACTTGTAAAGCAGCTGTCTTCTCGCTCCTCCCTCCTGGCCTATGACCATCGTCTCTGCAAGTGAGGCGCACCCATGATCTGCCTATAGGACACGGTGTCCCACAGGCCGCATCGCAGTGACGGGGTTCTTTCAGGACCCCGTCCGGCACGCTGCGGACCCGGTCCTGCGCCTTGCGGACCCCGTCCTACGCCCTCCGGACCCGGTCCTGCGCCTTGCGGACCCCGTCCTGCGGTCTCCGGACCCCGTCCTGCGGTCTCCGGACCCCGTCCTGCGGTCTCCGGACCCCGTCCTGCGGTCTCCGGACCCCGTCCTGCGCTCTCCGGACCCCGTCCTGCGCTCTCCGGACCCCGTCCTGCGCCCTCCGGACCCCGTCCTGCGCCCTCCGGACCCGGTCCTGCGCCTTGCGGACCCCGTCCTGCGCCCTCCGGACCTCGTCCTATGCCCTCCGGACCCGGTCCTGCGCCCTCCCGGACCCCGTCCTGCGCCCTCCGGACCCCGTCCTGCGCCCTCCGGACCCCGTCCTGCGCTTTCCGGACCCCGTCCTGCGCCCTCCGGACCCCGTCCTGCGCCCCTCGGACCCAGTCCTGCGCCTTACGGACCAGTTCCTCGTCCTGTGCCCTCGGACGGGTCCTGCGCTCCCGGACCCGGTCCTGCGCCCTCCGGACCCCGTCTAGCCCTCGGACCCGTCCTGCGCCCTCCGGACCCGTCCTGCCTCCGGACCCGTCCTGCGCCCTCCGGACCCCGTCCTGCGCCCTCCGGACCGTCCTGCTGCGCCCTCCGGACCCCGTCCTGCGCCCTCCGGACCCCGTCCTGCGCCCTCCGGACCCCGTCCTGCGCCCTCCGGACCCCGTCCTATGCACTCCGGACCCGGTCCTGCGCCCTCTGGACCCCGTCCTACGCCCTCCGGACCCGGTCCTGCGCCCTCCCGGACCCCGTCCTGCGCTCTCCCGGACCCCGTCCTAGGGCCTCCGGACCCCGTCCTGGGGCCTGCGGACGCCGTCCTGGGGCCTCCGGACGCCGTCCTGGGGCCTGCGGACGCCGTCCTGGGGCCTCCGGACGCCGTCCTATCCCATCAGTCATTGTGGCATCCACCGCCCGGACTCCGTCCGGGACCCTTCAGGACCCCCACCGGACCGGTCCGGTTATGGCCAATTTACGTCCGGGACCGTGCGTCCAGGACCCCGTCCCGGACGTGGTCCTGGACGCCAGGACCTGGTCCTGAAAATACCCCGTTCTACTAGTGTGAGACATGTCGACAGCCTCAGCACCACAGCAGTTGAGGGTGCACTCAACGAACAAGCTTCGCCCCTCGCGCGAGCCGGCGCTTCACGAAGAACTGCTTGGCATGCCGACACGACCAACAAAATTGAGGCGACGGCAAGGAGAAGCTTCAAACGGGTAGCGAAACCCCCAACTGCCAGCCAGCCATGTAAGTACGCTTGTAGCGCCTCTCACAGCTGCTGCTCTGAGCGCCGCAATCGGTCGCAACCGCTCCTCAACGGTCGACGAAGTCAAAACGGAGGTCGGGTCCGCGGGTCAGGGCTGCCTCGTCCACTGCACGTCGGCGTATGATACGGGAAGCACTTCAGTCCGCCTCGACAAGGCTGTGCAGCGACGAAGGGTGGTCGCTTCTGCAGCAAAACCGCGCTGGCACTGCTGGTCTTGACCGGCAAGGAAAGCAGCTCAGAAAGGGCACAAACTGGCCGTGACCTTCGAAAAGGTCGAGCGCTATTGCGCTCAGGCTGTGGCGAACATCGCACACAGGGCCAGGGGAGTCAGGCAGCCAGGCCGAGCGCCTAAACCGCCGCGCGAGACACACATGGACCCCACGCAAACGCTGTTACAATTCAGAGTTCCCCTTCGTGCTGTCCGCACCCCTCCAGCAAAAGTACCACCCATGCCTAAGAGATGCTCTTTTGATACTCAGAATCTTTCTGACACGCCCTCCGCTTCACCACAACTCAACCCAGGACGCCCCACTGGCCACAATCAGCCACCACGTGTGCCCCAAAGGCCACATTCTCACCAAACAACCACACTTCCCGTGGTCAGCAACCATGTAATGCCCCACGGGGCATATTCCCATCAAACAACCATGTGGCGCCTCAATGCGCCACTCCTGGATCCGTCTCGCCACAATTCACGGCTGGCCGCTAGCCGGGCTGCCCCTGAACAAACGCACATGTCCAGTGGCAACCTGGGTGTTCCTTAGTACTCCAGGGCGTATTTGGGGTATGTATAGAGCACCCCTGATTGATGTTTTGGGGTTTCTGCCTCATTGAGCGCCAGCCTACTGGACGATTTTTAGTATGGCGAAGGTGTTGAGGCTGTCGACATCCCCTCTGCACCAAATCTGGACCTCACGGGTCGCCAGCTGCGTGATATCATTTATGCACTAACGTTTTTGATGAACCCCATTAATTGGCGAACGAACAAGGAAAAAGATATTCTGGCGGTGGCGGCTGTGATGCCATTTGGCGCTGATTGATGCCATCACAGCCACAGTCATGGCGCCTCTCAGTGTCGAAACGGCATCGCAGCCGACGTCACAAAATGGCGTGTTTCTGCTCGAATTCGAAGCGACGCTGGGCCGTTCCGTGCGTTTTCCGCGCCTCCCCTGGCGAAACGTCGATTGACGGTCCGATCCGCGATGGACATCCCATGCGCCCTTCCGGACGACTTGGATCCATGTCATGCCGCCATGCCCCCGATCGGCACATCAAAGCGTCCAACGCCCCCATGGGGATGCGCGACGAGACATCCCAAACATCCTGATGGGACAACCCTCCGCCCCGCCACCCCCGGCCACCCACAGCCCATCCAGTTCCCCCCCCCCCCTCCAATCCCAGCCCCCCCGCTCCGCCATGCAGGCCCTGCCCAAAGTCCTGCTCGCCTCCCAGCCCGACGGGCTGCGCAAGGCGCTCAGGCGACGGTGGGCTCACCTGCGCCGGGCATCCCAATGGAGGCGAGGGGCGGCAATCGCCTTCGCTGTCCTCGTGACGCTCGTGACAGCGGGGCTCGTCTTTCGCAGCCCGAAGCCGCTAATGCGGACAACCAGTCCCCGCGACCAGCCCTTGGCCACGGTCCACCACGGCTTCCTGCCTCCCGCGCAGTTTGAGCGCGTGAGCCGGATCTCCAACGCGCAGATCGACGGCGCCTTGGATGCCGACACGCTGGACGGGTACATCAGCGGCTGGATGGTGAAGTTCAACCGGCGGGGGCTGGAGAGGGTGAGGGCCATGGAGCTGTACGCCGACGCGGTGCCGTACTTGGAAGCGGTGTTGGTGAACGAGTCGAATGCCTTCGTGCTGAACACGGTGGTGGCCAAGGAGCCGGCGCCCGGGGCGGATGCCGTCAACGCGCACTTCGACAACACGGTGGCCATCCGGGAGCAGGGCATCTTCCTGGCGCACCAGGTGGGGAGGGGAGGGGCGAGAGTTCGCGATGTTTGCTCATTGTTGCGTTCCTTGAGCCTGTTCTCTTGGTTTCGGACGCGCCATTCTTTTGGGTCTGTTGTGCTTCCGAAAGCAGCGTTGTGCTGAAGCGTTTTTTGTTCCCTTTCCATCGTTCGAGTTCACATTGTTGGGGAGGTTCCTTTGTTGTGGGAGAAGAACAGTGGCTGTCATTGCAGCCTGATGCGGCCTGAACCACTGGTAAACATTCGACCATTTTACACGGTGTGCAATCGTGAGAAATCGTGTTGAAATCGTGTAAGGATCGGTGTTTTTGGAGCATGATTTTACACGATTGGTAAAATCGTGTACTCTTCAGCCCTGTGTACTACACGAAAGTGGATCACCTTACCACCATGTACAAAACTATAAAGAACACGGTTTTACACGATTTCAATTGTGTACCAGCGGCAGCCGTGTAGTTTGCGATCAGTACAGGATTGTTACACGCTTTTTACTCGCATAACACGGTACTCGATTTGCAGGACCGTGTACATTGGACGATATTTTTCCAGTGATCAGGCCGCTGGCCTCATAGCATTTGTCCCGCCACTATTCCACCAGCAATGCCAAACGTTGTGAGCTGCATGGTCGATGCGTAGTTGGATGGGTCCACGCCGATTCGACCACACATCCACTGGTGAAAATCACGACACATACGGAATTCACCCTCGCCAGCCCTCACCTCACGAATGCGCAAGTCGCAGTAATCCAAGAGTATCGTAGCCGTGGGAGTACTGCATGCTGTTGCGAAGAGATTGTGCAGCAACTGTGCAGACCACGCTTTGCACACGTTTCCCGTCCACATTGTGCAGCGGCAAGCGCATTGTCTCCCCTATTTTCACAGAGATGACGGTCCTCATACAATGGCAATGTTGGAGAGAGCTGCGCCCTGAAAATTGGAATAAAGAGAGAACAAAAAACTTGCTGCTGAGGCCAAAATGTCGCAGACACGAGTCGACCGCTGAGTCACTGGCGAACCTGTCTTGGTGATAAAAATTTTTCACACTTTAATTTTTTTAACAAGAATTAAATTTAAATTAAGCATGAAATAGGAGGATCCCTCTCAGGTTCTTGAAGGCGAAATTGGCTGCTGGAATATTCCAGAATTGAGGCCTAGGTGAAGGACATCTCTTTGCTTGTGATCTGAATATCTTAGTTTTGAGTGCGTTTGCCAGAGTTGGAAAATTTGTGCTTCAGTTGACGACCGGATATCATTGTGCTTACAGACAATTTCCATCAGCTTTTGACATTTGGCAAATGAAAACTGCAGGAGCGATACTCCGGCCGTGGGTGTTCACTTGCCTCAAGGTCAAACAGTGCCACAGGACTACATTACTATAATACTCCGGTACTACGGCACTTTGGTGCTAGAACCACGGTACTGCGGTACTGCAGTACACGGTACTTAGGACAAACATTGCATTGCTATTGAATTCAACAGGTGGAGAATGACGCCTTTCATTTCCACCTGTCTACCTTCTTTTGATCAAAAGAAGAAAGACGAGGAAAAAGAAAGTACAACAGGATGTATTTTTATGGACACACGATCCGTTTGATTTAAACGAGATTTGCAGTACTGACGCACCCTGCAGTCTTATGTACTATAAAAATAGCCTAGTTGTTATGTAGATACTAGATAAGGCGCCACTGCGAATATGCTCAATTCAACGCCTATAATGCGCGGTGTTAAACTGCGTGAGTGGGAAACTTGTTGCCCACCGTTCCAGCCTCGAGTTCGTCATCCAACACCGCCAGCGGCTCTTTGTCGTCGGGCTTTGACAACGAAAACAACGAACCTCGCACTCTCTTGCTGTTGGGCACAAGGCCCACACATCTTGCGATAGGACTGGCGAGGCTTCTGGACGCTGAAACGTGACGTGACATCTTGGAATCTAAAGGAATCTGCGGAATGTGGGCCTCAGGTGAACGTCCTGTACGTCTCCCTGCCCGACAGAATGGAGGGCGGCCAGCTGGAGGTGTGGCCCATGGAATTCGAGGACAGCGAGTACGGCAAGGCCGTCATCCACCCCCTGGAAAACATGATGGTAGAATTCAGGGGCGACGCGGGGCACCGCGTGAGGGGATTCAGGTCGCCCAGCGGGGGGAAGCGGGTCAGCCTGGTGCTGGAGCAGTACCGCATTCCTCGCTCCTCGTACGGCAACACCGTGGATTTCTGCCAAGGGCAGGAGTGCATGGAAGAGGTGGTGTAGCGGGAATTGGGCAGGAAGTTGGGGTGTTGTTTTGCTTGGCTTATTTGCTTAGAATTGACCTGGAAAGAATAAGGGTGGGCTGCTTGGGCTTGACTGCTCTGCTTAGAATAGCTTTCGAAAGTCAGAGGGGTGGAATTGCACTTGCGGGCGATTGCGGTCACCAGGAGAAGGGGCCAAATAATAACATATTTTCTAAAACATTTGAAAATAACACGTGTTCAAACGTGTACAAAGCTTACTGGTTTGGATTATTTTTGTGTTCTCAGCGTGCAGAACTCTGATGAAATGTGTTTTATGTGTGTTAGAAAAAGTGTTGTTGGATCCTTTTTTTGCTAGCGGGTGGCGTGGTGCAGCTCTCGGGACTTGGGGCCCCTGACGGGTTGGTCATTTCGGTGAGGCGGCGCGGCTGAGTGCAAGTTTGGGATGTTGCGTCGCAAAGACCGTCTGCGTTGGCGCAGTGCAGGGTGGCATGCACACTGGCTTTCCAGTCGATTGTCAAAAGGATTTCGCTGGGGGGTGGCGGGGCCGATGCAGAGGCAGGTTTCGTGAATGCGATATCGAAATCGGTTGTCGTTAGTAACGGTATTGGGAAGGGGAGTTGCTGCGCTTGGGCTGACAGGGCAGATTTGCAGGGATGCTGGTTACCGGTGGCTGCGATGTCTGTTAGAGCTACCAGACGGAAAGTCGCTGTTCCTGGGCGGATAGGTGGCGGGGGAATGCGCGATATGGTGGCTGGCGCCGACCTTGTCACATCCCGACGTGCGCCCCGCCTGGAACTGTGGAAGCGGGTGGGTCCTTCGTCAGCAACGGACGGTGAGTGTGCGCCAGTGGCGTCAACCGACAAGAAATGGCAGGCGGTGGGCGAGAATGTGCCATTGCATCGGGTGGTGCTTTGCCTCGAGATGACTCACGATCGGAAGTGCTGATAAATAACTTGTGTTGTCGGGGGTTTGAAAGTTTTTCTGAGAGGTTCTAGAAAACAACGCCCTCAAGTGCTTGCTTTGCAAAAGTTTCCATGGTTGCACACGCTCCAGAATGCCGAACAGTGGGACGCCGAAAACTGGGATTAATCACAGTCCTAGGATCGGCAGGGGAATCGATTCCGTTGCTGATTAAAGGAGTGTCGTCATTGGCCCCGGCGATCTTTCCACACTGCAGAACATCGCGCTTACATTTTTTTGCAAGGTGCTTGTCCCAGGAATATTACTGATAAGAGTCCCAGGAACAGGTAGCAATGCCGAGCATCTGTCAGCAGGCGACCATGATCGCAGCGCACAACTCGTGGGCCATATGTTCTTCGATGTGCCTTGCAATATCGAATCGAGTACACTTGGACGCAGACACTCTGTGTGACGTAGATGGGCTCATGAAGCTGACGTCATGAAGCCTCTCACGTTTGTGCTGCATTTTGATTCAAACGTCACTGTTTTGCCCCCAAGTCGTTGACACTTGGACTGCCATATGGCATACTATGCATAGTATCATACTATTTCTGTCATAACAACGGTATGGCAGAAAGTGCTGGGAACAAGGGCTGGATGCGAACAGGCTCGCTCCTGCATGTAGCACTCGCTGACCACAATTGATATTTCAACGGTGCTTTCAGCTCGTGCCGCATCCGTATCCACGCATACGTATCGAAGCGCCGCATCAGCCTGGCGCCGCAATTCTGACACGCCGGCGCCCAGCCAGTTTGTGGCCAGGACAGGGCCCTGGTGTGCACCGTAGGCCTATTCCTTGAGCCTACACTTGGGAATTGTGCAGCGCCAAAGTATATGCGCATATTCCGACTTACCACAGCTTCTATTTGAAATACTGTCGTAACTAGAACTGATCGAGTATTACTAAAGCTGTGCGCAAAAAGAGGTGCCGGTGCGTTAGGAACTGCATCAAGGACAATGATGAACGAACTGGATATAAGGGACAGAATTCCTGTCGTCTCTTTGCTCCGCCGTAAACCGTTGCCGTGTACTCGAGCCTGTATTGTCCCCAGTATACGTATATATACGTACACACGCATATATCCGTAGTATATACGGTCCCCAGTCGGGTCGCCAACGTTGCCAACCCGCCCAACAACCCGCGCCTTAAACGCAGCGACTGGGGACACCGCGCAGCACCAGCAGCGGCGTTCCACCGCCACAGACGGCTCCCCTCGCGGCGCTCCCGACGCCTCTCCCGCGCCACCCCCTGACCCTCATCGCCGCCACCCACCTCCTGGATCCGCGAAGAAAGCAGCTGAGCTGATTGCGCGATTAGGGAGATAGCCGGAGTTTGCGCACTCATCGCCCGCTCGACCGAGTCCCTCAAATCAACCGCTGAAGCCTGCGCCAAATCTGGATCTCCCCATGCCGAGGCCCTGGCCGTGGACCTGGCAGATGGGAAGGCGATCGATGCGATGGCGGCGGAGGTTCGAAGCCCACCACCACCCCGTGCATTTTTACCGGCTGACCGCAGTTGTCGTGCCCATGGAGAAATGGCTCCTTCAGGAAAAGCGCGCCTGCAGTGCCCATACACATGCGCATGACTCCTGCCCCGTATTGATCAATCAGCCCCTCCCCAGGTGGTGGCGGCGCACGGCGGGGTGGACGTGCTGGTGAACAATGCGGCGGCGAGGGCCAGGAGGGGCGGGGGGGTGCTGGAGGGGGATCCCGAGGAGTGGGACGAGGTGTGGAGGGGATGTGGAGGGGGCAGAGCCCTCTTTGTTTCGATTTCTTGTTCTGGGGGGCGGGGTCATTACTGGGGAGGGTCTATTCTGGGGGTGGTGCGGGGCTTTTCGGCTGGTCTTGGCGGTGGAAGGGTGGGGGAGACAGCGATGAATAAGTCAGTCGATCGGTCAATCAGTCAATCAGTCAATCAGTCGATCAGTCCATCAGTCCATCAGTCCATCAGTCCATCAGTCCATCAGTCCATCAGTCCATCAGTCCATCAGTCCATCAGTCCATCAGTCCATCAGTCCATCAGTCCATCAGTCCATCAGTCCATCAGTCCATCAGTCCATCAGTCCATCAGTCAATCAGTCCATCAGTCCATCAGTCAATCAGTCAATCAGTCAATCAGTCCATCAGTCAATCAGTCAGTCCGTCAATCAGTCAATCATTCAGTCATTTAATCAATCGATCAGCCGATCAACCTGCGTCTATGGCACTCAGGCTCGAGGGACATGATGTGTGTTCCAGGCAATATTTACCTCTGTCAGTGGCCTGGGTTCTTTGCAGTAGTTTTTGAGGGCGATCTATGCAGCAATCAGTAAACGGCGATATATCAATACACAGCATTGATTTGGCTTGTTTGATGCGGAAACAGCTAAAAATGGTAGTACGGGGAAATGGGCGTATTATTCAGCTACTTGTTCTGATTTGTAAGTGTTTGACTCGGTGGCAAGCATGTGGGCAAGATTGCACGTTTCTAGGCTTTGCTTTCTTTGGAACGCATTCAAATTATCATTTTTCGTTTTTGATTTTTTCATTTCTTAACTTCATTTTTGTTTTCAATTTGCGCTTTTTCTTCAGTAATAATCAGCATGCTCGAGCCCTGCGCCCAACAGACATATTGGCTCAGGGCGTAGCAGAGAGATTCGTCCCGGATTTGACGCTCCTGTGCGCTGTGATCACTGAGTGATGCTCGCCGTGTCTGGAAACCATGAATACTGTAGATAAACGAATAACTAACCAATATATTTATCATTTACTCAACCAGAAATATCCCAAGTCGTCATTTATTGGCGCAAACCGCGTTCAAACGCTACAGAATCGCGCAACGCCAGCCGCGCTTTTTGGCCCACGGTTCGCCGGTGACGCTGAAGATAAGCACAGCTCTATGTGGTACTGCACAGTACCATAAAGTACTAATCTGGCACCACATACACAAGTAAAAAATCGGCCAAAATACACGGTTTCAAACCGTGCAAAAACTCGTGCGCCACCGTGCCAAAACGTGTAGAATCGCTGCACACTGATTCAATCGTTACTACATGGTTTGTTCCCATTTTTCTACGATAAATATACGATTTCACACGAGTTGTACACGATTTCAACTGTGTTACACATACGCGATTCAAGGCCGTGTATCTTGGCTTGTTTTTTACTGGCGCGATCTCCAAAACCGTCTTGCTGGCCGCGTCCCGCCGCAGATGACCGCCATCAACCTCATGGCGCCCATGCGTCTCACGCGGCGCCTCGCACCCGCCATGGTGGCCCGGGGCGGCGGCCTCATCATCAACATCGCCTCCATCGCCTCGGTGGACCCCCTGGCCTACGTGTCCTGCTACAGCGCCACCAAGTTCGGACTGCGTGGCTGGTCGCTGTGCTGTCACAGGAGCCTGCGCGAGCACGGCGTCAAGGTCGTGTGCGTAAACCCCGGAGTCGTCAGGACGGGCGCGGTCATGTGAGTGGCTCATAGATTCCTAGACTTGGTTTGTGTTGTAAATGGATTTTAATGAACTGAACATAGGTACCGCCTTGCTCGGGCAAACTGACGGCTACCTCATTGCCTTGTTATGCAAAGGGACAATGATGATGATGAGTGGCACACATGCCCGATATGGCATGAAGTTGTTTGCTCTGTCTTTTCCGTGAAGATCCCTTCTTGTGTCGACACCCTAAACCCTAAGCCACTGACCCACTGACCCACTGACCCACTGACCCACTGACCCACTGACCCACTGACCCACCGACCCACTGACCCACTGACCCACGTTGGCCTTGTCGGCGGAAGAAGAAAGGGCCCTCACGGAAAAGGCAGAGGGTGTAAGTCCTCCCCCTGGGTTGTACTTGCCAGGTCGTTGCCAGGATTCGAAGCCGAACACATGATGACTCCAGACGACGTCGCGGAGGCATGTCTGCTGCCCCTGAGGACGGGCGGGCAGTGCGTCCCGGAAGAGATAACGCTGCGCAACTTGCATGACGCGGCACCGTTCATGCGAGAGTCGCCGTGAGGCGTGTTGAGCCCCTTGGCTGGTGGTGGAAACATCATCACCATCGCAGTGAAGATTACGTCACAAGGCAAGGAGGTAGCCGTCAGCTTCCTGCGGCGCCCCAGCCAAGCGGTGTCCATGGTTGGAGAGTCGTGGCCGGGCAAGTTGCTGAAAATGGCCCAGAATGGTTTCGCGCTGGTGGCTTGGTAGTTGGAGTGAGGCATGTTCCTGATGACGAAGTTTTGTGAGACGTGCAGAGTAGATGGTGCATTTCCGGCAAGCATTTTCTGGGATTCTTGATGTTGCTGGAATGCGGACAGAAATTGTTCGAGAATGGAGGGCTTGCGAGCCAGCCACGAGTGCCTATCGGGGCAGGGTGGTTGCAGTTCCGGGTGTGTGTGTGTGTGTGTGTGGAAATATAAGGGGCACATGACATACCGTGGTTGTATTCAACCCTTCCGCATATAACGTAACGCTTGGCCTTTTCCTGTGGAAAAAACAATGAAAGAGAAAACGCCTCTTTAATGAAAATTTTGCGGAATTTCGTTAAAAACCAAAGATAACACTCTGAAAAACACTGCAGAGCAAAAGCGTAGTGGTAACATTGTTTGATGCACAAGGATTGAATACACTGCAGTAGTTTGGGGCTCTCCTGTTCAGGGGGAGCTGCAGACAGTAAAGGGGTACATCCTTGAAGGGGTCCGCATGGTGCAGATGTTTACATGTGCACAGTTTGCTCCCCCGATGCATACAATGGGGCACACGATTGATGGTCTGTCAGACATTGATTGATTTGTTGTTTTTTACATTTTCAGGATTGATTCGTTTTTGACAGATTCAAAGAGTTTACCAATGTTTCTCATGCCTTCTGAGCCAAGCCAAAAGGATGGCGTTGTGCCCAGTGTCGCTTGTTGAGCGACCGACGTTGGTGTACTGCCTGGTCCACTTTTAAAGCGGTCTTGTTGCTGGGAGTAATACTCCATGCAAATCATACTAAACAAGAATGGAAAAGGACAGGCAGAGCTGTACTTTATGGTGTGTTGTCCCCATCAATCCATCTAGAGTCCTGTACATGATGCTCCAGCATCGATGGCTACAGCGCCTTTGGCACTGTAAAGTGCATCAAGACTCATGAGCAACCGCATTTTGGTCTCACAAAATTCCAGCTCCAAGTAATGATCAGGCATCCATCTGATCGTAACATTTTGTTTCAAGCATCAGTTTGCAAGAACATTGTCACTCCTTCCAAGCACAAGCGCCAAAGCAGCTGTTGATGATGACAAGGAAAAGAATGCACAGGGACAGATTTGCTAAGAGCTTCGCACATCGCTTTTGGCTGGTTGCCACCTGGAACTGACAGTTCATGCTGAACAGCATTCCGAAGTGCCTCAAAACCCAAGGACACCAGCGCCTGTCCATTTTGTCTCTAATTTATGATCCATGACCATCCAGCACCCTGATGCAGCACTGCATCACAAGCACCGTCTCACAGTATGCTTCCCTAGATTGTGGTCACAGGCCTGGACCACCCAGCACTATCATACACATGCAATGGTTGCTCTTGAGGAATCTGTTTAGTAGCTGCAGGGCATCAGCAATGTGGGGCCATCCAAGTGCCTTGGCTCGCGGACCCACTTGTGAAAACTTGAGCCTGCTCCCCCTTGGCACCTTTGGGTGTGGCACCTCACAGAACCCCTATGCGATCTCAGCTGCCGCAAGCCGGATACTGACAGAGAGCAATGTGGCATTGAAACGTGCTGAGATCAGCATTTGAAGGCAAGACATGGCCTCTGCACCTGCCTTGCATGGCAAGTCCTGCAACCTCAAAGAGGCCAGCTTCAGCAGTCGGCCAACTTCAGGAGCTGACCACAAGCACAGGACTTGGCCATAGGCTGGGAGTCCAATAATTCCCACAGCATTCAATAATTGACCCGCTTGCCAAACAGTCCATAAGCGATTCAGCAGTTCTTCTGCCTCTTCCTCGCACTCGGCACCACCAAAACGCCCTCAAGGTCATCCGCCTCATCGTCGCTCTCTGGGATCGTCAACACTTCCCCATCCCAAAGCGGCCGCCACGCACTCCCCTCCTCCCTCCCCTCCACCTGTGTCCAGCCATCACCCCCCACCTCCCCTTCTACCAGTATTTTCTGTCTGCTGGATTTGCCCACTGGCGATAAACTATCGCCATCTCCTTTCCCCCCTTTGCTGTGCTCTTCGCTTGTCGTACCAGCTGATGCACTATCTCCACCTGCTGCAGCCCCTTCCTGAGCATCCCATTCTCTAACACTTCGCCGCCCCAAACGTACTCTGCCTCGATCTTCCCGCATTTTCCAATTGCAACCTCCAACTGATCTGCTGTCATCGCTGGAAGAGTCGCTGGTACAGCCCTGGCCTGCATTTGATGCGGCAGCATCATTGAGGGTTGTCATCTTGTCAGGTGAGACATGTGGCGGTGTGCAATCAGCAGGTTTGGTGGGATTCGCGGGGGAGCTGCCAGGGCCGGGCTGCACATGCTGCGGGAGGGCATGTCTGCGCATCAGCTGTCTAGCTTTTTGCCTGAAAACCTCCCTCCGGTGCTTGTATTCTTCAGCCTGTGTGACATCAGTTTGGATTTTGGTGCTGGCCTGGGGACTATTTTGAGAATCAATGTGTGCCAATATGCTTGGTAGATGTCAGTGTATTGTGTCACCATCAAAAATATGGGCAACGTGACAAGTCAAGGAAATGCAGGGGATTCCACGCCACTTTCCTAGTGCGTTTCAAGATGATCAAGGCCATGCTTGAAGTACTGCCTCCTTGTCACGGAACATTGAGTACCATTCACACAGCCCTCACACAGCCCAGAACAACTTTTCGTGCCGCACTGTATTCTGTGCCGCTGTTGTCGCGCTTGTAGACAGCACCTGCGTTGCCTTCCATAGCATGAAAAGCAACGCAAGAAAATAATCTTTTTCTAATCTAAAAACTTAGAAATCTCAATTCTTAAAACCCTTGAAACTCAAAAAGAGCTCACACAGGAACTGGATATCCACTGCATGATGAGTTTTTTCTGGCACCTAAATCTTCCCATCTTTGCGCTTTGCATGTTCACACAGACAGCATAATGTACTTCAGGTGTTCTGGTCGGTGCTGTGCAAGACCATCTGTGGCACACTTACCACATCTGCCATCAGCCCATCGTCAGGATTCGGGTCTGTCATGAGGACTCCGATGCTCATCAGCACTGTTGAAATGTTGAGCGATGGCCGCCAGCCTCCCTGGCGCACATAGGCACCAAGCAGCTTCTGTTCTTTCCCCAAGAAGCAATCACAGGTGACGAGCAGAACGATACTAATGCAAGGGATGAAATCAAGCCAGCATATTCCCAAGCAAGATTCTGCAACTATGTTGCCTTGTTTATTTCGACCTTTCACGTGACAGTGGAGATTTTAGGAACCAGGTTCAACATAATGGAAGAGATGCAGATCCATCTGTTGCCTCCTAAGATGCTGCCAGACGATGCAAGGCTCCAAAACAAATAGATTAGGCCAACCCTCTGAAAATATGAGCTTTAGCACTCTGGGGCATCCCCAGCTGCAGCATCAACACAACGACAGTTTGTCATATTGTTGCTCTCACCAAGTGATGAAGCAACTCTATTGGGCAATGGTGTGTTTCAATTTGTCATCTTTGCAACCAACACTCTTTGTGACAACTTATTGCCATTGGAGAAAGGACTGCTGGTAAACACGAACAGCCACACACAATGGCAGAATTTGAATTTCTGACGATGACAAATGACAAATGTGGGACCCCGCAGTACACTACCTGTATCAAATACTGCTTTTAAGCAGTACGAGTTCCCCCATTAACTCGCCTTCCCCTGCCTTGTCAATGCTTCCCTGAAAACCCTGTCCCAAAAAGCCCTATGGAAAAAGTTGACTGGGCATTATTGTGCTTCTTTGGGACAGACATGGTGCAGATGCAATAACATCACATGCTGTCTGTCTCATTCACAGCCTTGGATTCAGCATCATGTGCTCCACACAGCCAACGGGGCAAACGACAATGCCCACCAGAAGGCTAACCGCGTTTGAATGTCCTGTTCATCATGCAGCGCTGGCAGGCCACCTGGTCAACCAGTTTGTTGGTGCTCACCAGAGCCACAAGGGGTTTGGTGGCTGTACTGCTGCTGACCCAGTTGGCTGTGCACCAGAACCCAATTTGTTCAGGTTGCCAAGAGCACTGCCACATTTCCATTGTGGTCCTATCATTTGCGGGGAGCTAAATGCGCTGAAACACGTGGCCTGTGACAATTATGTTGACAGACGTGAACATTGCCCTACAACAACTGGCACATTCTTCCTGGCTGTCATTTTGTGCCGTGCCCAAGGCTGCCACAGCAAGCTGCTTGCCAGAGATTTGGTTTTGGCCCAGATGCAAGAGCAAGAGTGTTGGTGCAACATAGCAGACTCATCGTGCTGTACTGCAGGTTGCACTAACACCAAGTCACGGCGGCCAGCTGACTCTGGACTTGGGCTGGAGCACAGCCAACTTTGCTAATTCTGCTTCATGTTCGCAGAATGACACAGTGTCCTTGCATGGGGGCCTTTGAAATGGTCTGTTCACTCGGAACTGTTCACAGCCCTGCATTCCACGCACTGAACACAAATGTAGCAAGACCAGTAGCTCATGACATGACAACATTGAGCAACAAGTCAACGGCATGAAACCACGTTGCAGTAGCCAATTTGTTCTGGGAACTGGCTGCAACTTGGCAAGTCTGGAATTTGGCCACCCACCTTTGGAGGCATGTTGAGAATGTCCAGGCATATCCTTCCCCCTGTGTCGATGTTCGGATGGTAAATGGGAGTGACAAACCTCACTTCAGGGGGCTCAAATGGGTACCTACAATATCAACATCACATTTGTCAATTGCCATGTGTTGAATTAAAGTATTCTTTTTGGGCGAATCAAACATCAGCCATTGTCAGCCTGTCAGCTGTTGTCAGCTGCCATCGCCAAAACTATGCAATGGTCTGGTCAGATTACAAATACTGTACCTGCAGACAGGTCCAAATTGTCTCGACCGGCCATGAACAATGCAAGTGCTTTGAAATCCAGGCCTAGAATCAAAGCACATAGCTTAACAGGAGCCATGGGTCCTTTTATGCTCTGGGTGTGTGGCTGTTGACGATTTCCACATCAGATTGAAATCATCCTTGTTGGCAGGGATGAAATCTCCCAGTGACCACAGTTCAAGGGCAGGCAGTCTGTCCCTCCCTACTGCCCCAGCGTCTTACATTTGAATCATAATTCATGTTAAAATGCTTTTCCAGCTGCGCACAGAGAAATTGCAATATCTCTCTGCCATGCACAAAGATCGTCAAGTCTTCCAAGTCAGGAGGGGATGTTCACCATCTGCATGCTTTCCTGCTTTGTTGAACATCCTCAAATGTCCATGTTGCTAGAAATGGTCCCTTGTGCTACAGCGCTGCAACTATGTCTGGACAACAGGTCGTCCATTTGCCATTGGCATGGTGCACATTGGGTGGGCCTATTCCTTGCCCCATTCTCTATCTGTGCAACAATCGCTGCGAGGCATCTTTGCTAAATTTGTCCAGTCCTATCAAACCCTTAGTCGACTCCATCGTTGCACATTCTTTCCCTTTGTTGGAATGTGATAAGTGCTATCCCCTCTTACATTCTGAGGCTTCCTGAAAATCGTCCATTGCAATGAAAAGTCTGCTCTGTAGAAAACTCCAATATGTAATAAGTCTCACAATGCGGTGCACCCACTGCCACACATGCAGTGCCCGTCAGGAACCACCTGCCAGGCATCCGCCCCTCAAGTACGTGTTTTCTTGCTATGGATGTTGCTGACACTCTGTGCTCCTCATCTCGCACTGGGAGACTCCACATCAAATTTTTCATAGCAGTAACATCTTACATACACCAGTAGAAAAAGACCTTGTGGCGATGCCAACTGGGATGTTACTTCACCCATGTTTGTGCCATCACAGCTATTTTTATGGCCTCGCAGTCACTGCGATGGCAACACTTGGTGTCCAAATCGCACCGCAGTCGGCATCGCCAAAACCTTGCTTCCTGCTATTGATGAATAACGCAGATATTACAAATCCTACCTCCATCTTACCCATCTAACAAATCTCTATTTAACCGCTTGCGAACAAATCTCTATCTTACCTCTACCTTACAAATCTTACCCGTCTCGTACAAATCTCACCTATCGGGCACCCGCACTGTGAGTTTGAATACCCCACCCTCGTAGTCGCTCCCCCGCGGCCCCTCGATCTGCGCCTCCAGCTCCTGCAGGCTGGCCTCGCCCTTGGGCCACGCCCGCACTCCCGGCGGCGGCTGCCGCTCCAAAATCACCAGCTCGCGCGCCATGCGGCCGCCCAGGGCGCCCTGAAGCATCGTGGGCCCTCCTCCCGCGGCACGACTCGATCTGAAAGCCCCTATCCTTCCAGCACTTCTTCGAAAAACTCCTTCCAAGATTTTCTCCCAAGAATTTGCTCGCTAAGTAGTGCGAAACTTCGGTCCTCAACCGTTCCGCCCTCAGAGCGGTCGCCACGATCCTCTCCAATGCCGGGATTCCCAAAAGTAGCGTCGAAAATTCCAAATTTCGCAAAGCTGCCCGGATGAACGTCCGGCAGGCGAGCAGTGCACGCCAGGCCTGTGAATCTTCTTCTTCTGGCCACCGGCCGCGCCTTTCTTGCCGATGAAGCTCAGGCGATCCCGGTGGCTGGAGTCCAAGGGAGGTGGTGGCGGGGCAGGGGGACGCGACTTACGTTTCGCCGCGGCAGTTGCTTGCCCTGAGAGGTGGCGAGACCGCCAGGGCTGGGGCTGGATCCGAATTGGAGGGGTGACAGAAACGCCCCAAGGCTGACGTGTCCGTTCCGCTGTGCGTCCCGTTAAATGTGGCCTGCCTACCGTATCTGCCGTATCTACATCCTGCGATACGGTCCGGCGTTTGGCGTGGCTTTGGCCGCACCGCCGCATCCCCCCCAGTCGTGGCGCCCCCTGGGCCTGCCAACGGCAGTGCGCCAACCCACCCCGCGCGGCACGAGCGCTTTCACAGCAGCCCACGCCGCAGCCGCGTTGACTTCTGGACTTCGCCCGACCCGCCCCGCAGGAGATCGCGTCCGGCACGCCCCTGGACGCCAGAGCGGGGGGGCGATCGCGAGCAGCCGTGGCCTCCAGGGGCGAAGCGCGGACAACATGGCCACAGCGAGGCGCCCAACACCATGAAGGGGCGGAAGATTAGCCCTCGCTCGCAGTGTTGAACATGGATTCCACGGGGGAGATTCTTGGACGCAAAGTGGTGCCGTCACAGTGATTGCGACGGCGTAAAAGTGGCTGTGATGGCATCAATTTGTGTCAAACGGCATCACAGTTGGCATCGCAAGAATGCTGTTTTCTGCTGGTGCATCCACTTGGTTCACAAACTGGTGGAGGGTGAACAGCAAGATGGAAAACAACAATCTTGTCGCACAAGAAGGCAAGCAAGGAGCACCAAGCAGCCAAGCCCACACAGAGACCAAATCCAACACCCAGGTCTCAAGAGGTGAAAGAGAAGGTCGAGTACTATTGCGCAAACGGTGGAGGTGACAGACAGCAAGAGCCAGAGGTGCAAGTAACGGAAAAGAAGAAAAGAAGGAAAAAGGTCGGAAGCTGGGGGGAGCAACAAGATTGGCTGCCAGTTCAGGTTAGAGGCAACACAACACGCTGACGACCCGACCACCGCCATCGTCTCATACCTGAAGCTTCCCACATCAATACAATGGGGCTGTGGTGCCATGGAATTGAGTATCAAGATATGGAGGACTTTCCAAAGTAGAGAGCCCGTGCTCCATGGTTGTCCATCTGGGTGAGGAACTGGGCTGCCCACAAGCTCCTCTTGAACGTGCCTGTGAAACACAATCTTGTTGGAGTTAGGTGAGATGCGCATGCAAGAGTTCGGTGGTCTGGAGGCAAGCAAGAGGCCATCAGATGAATCAGTGTTGAAGGAAGCATCATGAAATCATTTCCCGACAAACAGGACTTGCGCAGCATCAACCGCAACTTAAGCGAGCGCACATGGATGAAGGACTCCCACCTAGCTCAATCCATAAGAATGCATCGACAAGAGCATCTGCCCTGGTATTTGTGTTATGAGGGGCAGGATATGAGGGCACAGAAGCCTTTCATTGTGGGCCTCCAGACTGACTAGCAATGTGAGAAATTAGCTCACTGCATTGGTGGCGCGCAAGGGCGAGTAGTGGAGAACGATGCGTGTTGTTTTCTCTGTACACCAGTTCAGCTTATAGCCTCCCAGTTTGCATGCCCCAACACTTTACAGTGATATGGGTTGTGGGGGTGTGTTTCTGTTGGTTGGCGCGTTTTCTGTCGATAGGTAGCGATGCCTGTCCCAAGATCTTCTTTGCAGGTGGCGTGTGCGGCTGGGGTGTCGAGGGATGATTGCTCGCCTTTCTCTCTTGCGTCCTGCACCCCGTTTTTGTCTTGGCACACCACGGTTCATCTTTAGAGATCGTGGCTGGCCGCGATTGGCGACCACCGCTGCGCCGCATATGGGACTCCCGGCCTCGATCTTGCGCGGGGTGGATCGGGCGAAGGCCAATGTTCAGCGCCCGCGTTTGCGCGTTGCCGTCAAGGCGTCCACGCCGTGCGGGGTGGGTTGGCGGACAACCGCCGCCCAGCGTCTTGGGTTCAGTGACTTGGGCGCTGTGGCCTGAGATGCAAGCATAGACAGGCCGCAGGGCGGGCCGTATGGCGGGATGTGAGATACGGCAGGTGAAGCTCTGCAAGCCACATTGAATGGGACGCTTCCACTGTTGGGTGGAAGGGTACTGCAATGGGGGCATGAAATTAGTCGCTCTGTTTTCTGTGAAGATCCCTTCTTGTTTCGACACTCTGAAACCATTGACCCACATTGGCGTTGTCTGCGGAAGAAGGGGGATCCTCACAGAATAGATAGAGGCACTAACAAATGCTCCTAAAATGTTTGGACTACCCTTTTCCTTGCCCCTGGCCAGGTGTTTTGGTAGAGCTGTGGGACATCCCACCCAGAGGTTACCAGTTTGATCCCCAGTCGGCCATCCCCTTTACCATCTGCACTAAGACAGCAACAAAAGAAAGAGCGGAATCGAATTCTGCAGAATTGAAAACTCAGGTACAGGTGCGGTTGCGGTTGGGGTGTTGGTGTCCACTGCTGCCAGGGTGCACCACTTGTGGCCAGTTGCCAGATGGGTGTTTCTGCATGGAAGTACTACTCCGAAGTATTACTTCGAGAAAGACTTCAAAACGGCAATTAGAAGCTAAACCATTTCAAAACAGGAAACAACTGCTGATTGCCTTTTCAAAAGCTGCTGGGAACACTGTCCACCAACGAGCGTAGCTGCTCGACAATGTTACATGAACATGAATTACGTTCATTTCCCTTAAGCCAGAGAATCATGAAAGTCTACGAGGATCTTATGTACTAGATGCACCTTTCGAGTTGATTTGGAAGGGGTGCCACACGAAATCAGATAACCTTAATGTGCACAGGTACAACCTACAGCACACGCTCAATGTACAAACGATGCCTTTGCGCATTGCAACGCCTTCGTTCTAGCAAGGCTAAATTGGGATGAAAAGTTGGCAAGAGCACTTAAATGAACAGTGAGCCCATTCACAACATGGGTGTGTTCCCATCAACTCACAAGGGCCACCTGAGTGAACGTCTTATTGGTATGTCTGCGGCTGTCTGTGTTGTGCTTTTCACTCGCCTTGATGTTCTTGTGTCATGTTTCAGCATGTCACACAAACGTTTTGGATCAGGATGGTGCCAATTGCATGACATTTTGTAATTTTGCCACAAACAATTTTCCTCGAAACTCAGGACCTCATGCCAGCACAAAGAACAAGGTTGTTGGGCGTGCAGTGGAATTTGAGGAACAGCCACCAGATTGTGTAACGGTTACACACACTGTAAGGTGGCTACACTGTAACCTTGCAACCAGATTGTTTCTTGTTGTACAAAAGGGTGCGTATGAACGCACAACTCCGCTCCGGCGACTATATGGGCTCCAAACCAGCACGGCTAAAGACCATTCGATGCCAAATTCCCCACCCTCAACATACAAGTCCCCCCCCTCCCCCCCTCACCCTTGCCCCCCCATAACAGCCTCTCTCGGGCGGCAACACTTGCTGCAATCGTGCCAATCCTCACATGCCCATTCCAACTCCCCAAATGGCATATGCCAGAGAGCTGGTCCAACAGGGCCAAGAACTTCCCCGAGGCGCAAAGGCGTCGACCGCCCAAAGCCATCGCCGCCTGAAAGTGTGGCGCGTGGCGAACGCCAAGGCCCGATTGGAAGCGCAAGTCAGCCCGACAAGACGAGCAGCGAGGGTTCAAGAATACACAATGACAAAACAAGCGAGCATAGAAAAAATCCTGCCGCCGATTACTGCTCGCAGCGAGCACGTAACTTGCTCCCAGGCCGCTCGGAACACCCATGCGGCCAAATACACTCCCCTTTTCCTGCACGACCCGTATGATTATGCCTTATGCACGACCACTGCCGCGCACTCGCCGGCATCTAAACGAAGGCATCGACATCCAGCAGCAGCCCCGACCCTCCGTACTCAGACGGCAGGTCCTTGTACCTCGGTAGCCCGTCCTTCACACCCCCCAGCGCCTTATCCGTGCCCAGGGCTTCCCCACAGTACAAGTGCATAGTTGGCTCGAACGGCATGTCGCACATGACCCGCGGAAATGTCCCGCACAAATTCGGCCCCTCAACCACGTAGTTCACCACTGGGCTGCCGCAGCGCGAGCAGAACTTCCGGTCCACTCGCGGCGTGTAGTTAAACTTCGTGAGCAGATCCCGCCCCTTGGTGACCACCACGTTGGGGTCCCCCGGGCCGGTGTAGGGGAACATCACGTAGGGGACGACCGAGTTTGAGTGGTACCTCGTGCAGTCCTCGCAGTGGCAGTAGGTCTGTATGGCCGGCGCGCAGCTCTTCTTGATGCTGAGCTCCACGCCGCCGCACAGGCAGTGGCCCACCCAGGCATCCGCTTCTTCGGCCATTGGGATGGGTGGGTGGTTGGGCGGGAATGCTTGTCGTTGGAACGAGGTCAAGAGGCCAAGTGTCGGCCAGTGGCATGACGTTGTCCTGGCGTGGTTGGGGGGGCGCGCCAATCCGCGGCCTCCGCGTGATGGTTTGATAGGGCTGCGTAACAAGTCGTCCCCGGTGACACGACATTGTAGATCGCATGTCTATGAGCCGCTGCTTGCACGGCATGCCCAGTTAATATAACAGTATAATTAACTTATGTTGTTGACGGTGGTGTCCTTGGTGTCGCTTGCAAGAGCTCCAACGATCGCGCACCTCTAGAAAGAGCGCCATCGTTCTTGCAGCGTTGCATTGCA